GAGGGAGAGGGGGAGAGAGAGGGAGAGGGGGAGAGAGAGGGAGAGAGAGAGGGAGAGAGAGAGAGGCAGAGAGAGAGAGGGAGAGGCAGAGAGAGAGAGGGAGAGGGGGGGAGAGAGAGGCAGAGAGAGAGGGAGAGGCAGAGAGAGGGAGGGAGAGGCAGAGAGAGGGAGGGAGAGGCAGAGAGAGGGAGGGAGAGGCAGAGAGAGGGAGAGGCAGAGAGAGGGAGAGGCAGAGAGAGAGAGAGGGAGAGGCAGAGAGAGAGGGAGAGGCAGAAAGAGACAGAGCGAGGTTCTCAAAAATGGAAGTGGGAATAATGTGAGGGGTAACATTCAGCTTGTGGGTCCAGAAATCTAATCAAGCCTGCGCTCCTGGTTCACGACCATTTGTTTTACCAAACTGAGCTACTTAGACAACAAACTCTGAACAGTATCTTGAATCTATTGTTTCGTTTTTATGTGAAAGTTTCCCCATATATTATTTCCAGCCTTACCAAAAAGTTGACAATACTTTATTTTGGTTTATTATAAAACCAGAACAAATAATATTAAACAGGCATTACGATTTATGGGTGTTTGTTTTCTTAAAATGTGTGTACTTACTCTTGATATCTTGGTGCGCAAACAATAGCAACAGCTTCTGGCATCATGCGCTGATAGGAACAGTGAGTATGTAAATCAACACTTGAGAGGAAAGCTGTTTGACTGGGATGAGTCTGCAAACAGAATCAGAAATACATTTAGTATGAGTGCTACAGTACAGAGTAAAACTTCTAATCATAGACCACTTTTGAAACATCTTCAACCAAACAAAAAAGAAAGAATGAGAATCAAAAATTTACCAATATTTTTATATTTTAACATGTAATAAGGCATCACAACAATACTAGTTTGATCCATGAGAACATTCCACACTTTTTAAATCAATGTATTAAAAGGGAAAATAGCTTCCGAACTGGTCAGCCCTTAAACTCAGTTACAGAGCCCAGTGCCACAGTATCTCTATATCACAGTCTTCTCTGTATTAAAGAGAAGGCAAATTCTGTGCATTACGCAGTATTTCATTATTCTACCAACTACCACCGCACCAGATTACAACGGGAAGCTATTGAGATTTTCAAACATCCCAATAACTTCACCAGGAAGGAAGAAGGGCTCAAAATTAACTCTAACTGGTATCCGTATCCTGCAATGCTAAAACAGTTAGCTCGACACGTCCTCACTGGAGGACAAAGAAGGCAAGTACTCCCCTCTGATATTCTGAGGGCTTAGTGCAACACAAAAGCCGATTTGGTTATTGTCTTAGGATCGACACGAACCCACACCAGCCACTTACACATAGCAGTAAAACGCGTGGGAACGGCAACACAACTACAATCACACAAACCTTCGGCTAAGCCCCTCCTCCCAAAAAAGCGAGACGCCAGTCAGCCGACCCGCCCCGAACACTGCGCCCGCGACCCTGCCGCCACCGAGGATGTTCACCGCAGACGTGGACGAAACGTTTGGCCCACCAATGCTAACTGGACCACGGCCTACCAGTCTGGAAAATTTATCTTCTAAATTTACAAGTTGTTTAATTTTTGAGTAATAGTAGCAAGGAATATTTCTTTAAAAAAATTTAATTATTCACCATCTGAATACTCGCCTTAGCGGTATTTTCTAGCCGACAAGAAAAAGGACAGTACCCTGAGAAAAACACTGATGCCCAAGACTTCAATAAAACTAGAACTAGTCATTCCATGAAATTAGAAATATTGAAAGACATTATAGGGACAAATTATAGCGCAATATAAATTATAAAGAAAGAGTACACGTACTCAGAACGTTTTCACATACGAGCGCTATTTGTGTTGTTTACAGTGACTTAAAAGATTCATCTTGGTCCAAAAATTGGAATTAAATCGTGAACATTTTCGTGCGATTATTTTTTACAATTTTTTGATGTGGATTAACTCAGCAACAGTGCATCGATGAAATTAATTCAATTTTTGGCGATGAAGCTCCATCAAGGACCAGTGTTAATCGATGGCATGGTGAATTCAATCGTGGTCGTAGTTCACTCCAAGACGAATTTCGCGAAGGTCATCCAAAATCAGTTGTTCCGAAAATCATTGATGCTGTGCGTGAACTGATATTGCAAGATCGTCATGTGACCTATCGTGGGATTGAGACAACCTTAGGCATTAGTGGGACCAGCATATATTCAATATTGCATGAACATTTGATTGTCAAAAACATTTGTTCACGTTGGATCCCACACAATTTGTCAATCGCTCAAAAAAGGCTCGTGTCGATTGGTTGAAAGAAATGCTCAAAAAATACCATCGCGGTGCTTCGAAACACGTCTATGAAATCGTGACAGGTGATGAATCGTGGATTTACGCGTATGAGCCCGAAAGTAAACAGCAGTCGACTGTATGAATGTTTCAAGATGAGCAAAATCCAACAAAAGTTGTTCGCGCACGAAGCACTTCCAAACAGATGGAACAGTCAATTCTGAGTGGTACACAACGATTTCTTTGCCAGCTGTCTTCCAAGAAATCAGGAAAACCAACCGCCGTAGACAGATCACTCTTCACCACGACAATGCGAGCTCTCAAACAACTGCATTTTTGAGCACCCAAACATAGATTTGATGCCGTATAGTACTGACTTGGCACCGAATGACTTCTTTTTATTCCCGTACGTAAAAAACAAACTCAGAGGTCAACGTTTTTCGACATCTGAAGAAGCGGTTGCTGCATTCATAATGCATGTTTTGGAGATACCTCAATCAGAGTGGCAAAAGTGCTTCGACAATTGGTTCAAACGCATGCAAAAGAGTATAGATCTTCATGGGGAATATTTTGAAAAACAATAAAGTGATTTTCGATGAGTACTATTAATACAATGGAACATAATATTAACGAACAAAATCATTGGCTCCTTGAACAGATCAAAGATGGTATAAAAAAAAGAAGAAAAAAAAAAAAACTTCCAAGAAATAGTACAACTGTAATGGATTTTCTGGAATTGGCACCCACAGACTTAAATCTGCTATCAACTGATCTTAGCAAATCTCCCATCAATTATGCTATTTGATTTAACTAGTAAACTTAAATGAAGAGGTAGCAGTCAGTTATTATAGCAGAGCATCTAGCGACACTCTTATACAAAATTCCCTGCTAATTCCAGTTTCTTACCACGAAAAATTTCCTGGTTATCAAAAAGGTATTTATCTATATTTAGATTCTGATTTTCATTCCTTTTAAGTAATAAATTAAGCAGTGAAATATACATTTTTTTAAAGTTACACATTATTGAAAATTAAAGCTAAAATTTAAAAAATGCAGGTTTAGGAAAACATTCCTGGAGATTTCTCATTCTTTCCATGTATGAAAAATATTCCCGGCTTATTCCCGGTCGCCAGACACCCTGTATAGGCAATCCAAGGTGTCAACTTGTCACAAAACTGGGAAAACACGGGTGTTACATTGAATACTTCAGGAATTAATTGATCATATGAGTGTACCTAACGTTATGCATATGACTGTTCCAATGGTTTAAGAAAACTGCTAGTTGTTAATAGCATATATATTATGGCCATTAAGAGAGTTATACACAGGCAATATTGCTTACGTCAAGTTAGGAAATAAGGTATCGAAAGAAATAAAGATAACTAAGGGTTGTCTTAGTGACTTATTCGTCTGGTTTTCCTGCAGCGACTGTCGATGCTTTGTGGTCACGTATAGAAACAGTGTGGCAGTGTGTTTCCAGCGGCAGGTATGCAGGCCCTCTTTGAATCCGCGCAACGATGTCTAGAGACTGATGGCAATGCGTGGCAGTTTCACACCATAATAAAGACTCAAGGTTAGAATGCAGGTGCAGATCCTTAATTCAAATCATTTGTGTATTGTGATATTCCTAATCTATGGAATAAACTTCATTGTATTAGTATGTCTTCTTCTTGGTGCTGCAATTTTCAAAAAACACCAGTGTAGATTAAATAATGTTTACATTAATAGCATAGGTCTGCGATGAAACAAATCCAAGGGAATTGAGAGCTGAACATACCCTCCCTTCTCTCTGCATTGTGATTGTATGCATTCTTGCTTTACACAAGGAAAAACTTTTCTTTCGCCTTCCCAGCAGTAATAGAATACAGTGCCATTTTTAAATTGCTGTTATTCACTGAGGCTATTTTTCGGCAATACATCATATCCTCTTGCACAAAGTTTGTATCTTTTTCCTTTTTTCTTTGAAGAGCTGCTCTCAGCTGTACCTCCAGCAAGGCTGTCTGTCTGAGCGGAAAGAGGGGCTGTGATGGCTAAGAGCCATCAAAAGCCAATGTGGTCAAAAGCTCTTAACAAATACAGAGAGGATTCTGATGCTTTCCAGATTTTCAAGTTATTTCCACTTTCCTGATTTCCATGTTTTCCACTCCTGAAATTTCATTGTCCCAGGTTACAATTACAAGGATTGTGTGGATAAATCACACTTTTAGTTATTGTCAATTTTGCTGCTAAATCTTTAACAATTACTTTCCAAATTCTTCTGAGTGACCAAGGATTTTTCACTCACAGCACTCTTTGTTGATGAAAAATTGTTTGACATCATCTTGACCATTAAACAAAACAAAAGTAATCTTTGTAAATTTCAGCAGTTCAGAAGATAATTGGAAACCTAAAATTAATTTTCTCCGGAATGTACCAGACTTTATTCTCAAGAATAACTTTTGAAAATGTGGATTGTTCAATCACAGGACTGAAATCTGCAGCATTTTCCAATAATTGTCACCATTAATTCCATCCCTTAAGCTTGCGGCTAGCTCTTGGTGTGCTCGCTTTCTACTACACAGCCCTGGCTTCGTTTCCCGGTCGAGCCAAGACTATACATTGTGCGTTTTCCTTGCAAAGTTCCAGTATTTGTTGTTGTGTAACAATGAGAAAATTAACTTCTCGGATTGAGAAGACCGGAATACGGCGTAGGGATCTATGTCCTAACCATACATATCCCCTTTACCATTGGCCGCGAGACAGGGACGTCGCCAGTAGGCCTGAGCCCCTTCACGGGTTGTCACACCAAGTACAAACCTACATACGTTCATACAAACAATTCCAGCCCTTAGATACAAAATATTGAAAACATACAATGATAGATGCCTTTCTACACATGTATGTGATGTACTTCACACAATGAAAAGTTTCCTAGAGTTGAAAACTACAGATGAATTCTCCTTAACCAGCCCTGAATGCTACCTGCTAAGACACCCAAACCCTTGAATGCTATCTGCTCAGGTTCGGTCTGCTTACCTAAAACAAGCTGTATAGAATGTCAGTTATGAATACCCCATCTCCTGATAACTTTGGTTATTTTTGAACAGGGTCCTAAATATAAAACAAAACTGTGATTCCAGTCAAATATATCTGTCATTCATTTATGACAGAAGTCCCATCCAACCTGTAGGGCAAATTTCTCATACAGGGTCTCCTAGAGTAAATATTATAAATCAATATTACTTAGAGCGGAAAATCAGGTACTTTTATCAAATTCATAGACTTTTCCAATTTCAAAATTCTTCCTGACAATTCCATGTTTATCAGTTGCACATGGAGCCTGGAAAATTCTAGTACCTTGTTGTTTCTATTTGTCAGTTCTCTCATTTCCTTGAAGAAAAACACAAAGTAAACAATGCTAACTCAATAAATAAAAACTGTCAGAAATAACATTGAAGCAATGTTATTCAAGGACTAATTGAAGTTCTGCAATTGTCTTAAAAATTCCCCCGCTGCTAACAATTCTTGTAAAACTTCCTTGATTTTCTATGATTTTCCCATATCAATGACATTTCATAGTGTTTTGTCAAAAATGGCTATGTAATTATTATTTTTGTATGATTCTGTAAGGCATATAACATTTGGAATTCATGAAACTGAAATTTTGGAACATAGTTGAAAATCAAAATTAGTAGTAAGACAACTTTTCTGTATTTTGACTATGCTCTCTAATATGTAAATGATACGTAATAATATTGTATGTTGAAAGCAGGAGTTGGTATTTCTACTGAAAAAAAGTGTTGCATTACTCAAATGGAATAGATTTGATTTCTGCTGGGTATTTCAATTACTAAAACGACTTGAGCATGGAAGGTTAGAAAATATCTACAAATTGCTAGGTGTCTATTTACGTGCAGTAATTATTTAACTTACATGAATCCAACCAAAAGTAATCAGATCGTGACGATCCTGATACTCAAATATTTCCTCTTCATTTTGAGTTGTGCATGAATCTGCAGTGCCAATCTGCTTTGGAACTAAAAGATGAGTAATAATTAATCTATCATGATCCTGAAAAGATATAACATATGCATTTTTGAAGTACTCAGAGCAGTTTCAAGCATAAACAAAGCAGCAGACACCATATAAAAACATAATACAAAGAAACTTACCAGTTTGCCAGCAAGAATTCCACATGTTTCAATATTCCTTTCTGTATTTCCTAATGCAAGATGCATAAACCTGCCCATTAATCGTGAGGGTACTATGACTGTTCTTAATCCAACTTTACCTTGTATAGATGGACTTAATAAGCTAGCAGGTTTGGTTGAACGATCTATAGATGGTTGATTCCTGTAATTTGAAAAATAAGCCTGTTAATTGACTCAACGGGCTACGGACATGTCTGAATCTCCCTTAATGATTCTCAACTCTAGTCCTATTTTATAGCACATTGCTATTTCACATTACTACATGTCTGCTGGGGTCATCTAATTCACACTACAAATGCCCAATTAAATTTCAAAAAAACTAGTAGGTTAAACATCGGCTGCAATGAAATACAGCACTATATTAATTTCAATTAATATCATTAACACTCAATGGCTAACACCAAAATAAGAAGATTTAACTATTTTCTCTCTCTTAACCCTGAATTTAGTTTTGTCTGTTTACCCAAATAGTATATAGATTCCTAAAAATTCATAATGGTTTGGTCATTAAATTCTAATAGTCTGTTATTGAAATTGTGACTAATTATGTGTTATTAAACCAGCAATAATTCACGTAAACACTGAATTGTGTACAAAAAAAATTCATTTACCATAAAAAATTTGGGACACGCAAGAACTGCTATTCATAAAATTACCTTCCAGCTTCAATATAAAATACTTCCAAATATAGAGATTGAGAACCACTCTTTTCAAGTGGGGAGAAAAAAAAAAAAAAGAATGACAGATATTTACTAACCTCGGCAAATTTAACATTATATCAAGTGAAGTTGGTTTTTTTGGTTCAAAAGTATCAGGATATACAATAGAGTCTGTAGGAATTGATGGCACAACAACAACTGGAACAGAGTGTTTCTCATATTCTTTTGCATCTGGTATGGGAGGTATAACTGTCTGTCGCTTTTTGGCTTCCAGCTCCAGGCGCAGCCTTTCTTTCTCTCTCCGTCTCTACACATGAAGTTAACATTATTTATCTTGGTAAAGTCACATAATGTTATGCATAAATTCTACTTACTTGTTCTTCACAAAAATTGTCATATTCTCTTTGGTATTGTTCCAGAAGACGTGACTTTAATTTCTCTGCTTTAGGAAGAACTTCCCTAAGCTTTTCAGCATTGACAGCTCTATCAGTTGGAGATACTGTCTTGAAATCTGGATGATGACGTATTTTTTCCAGAAACAAACTAAAAAAAATTATGAATTCAGACAATAACACAAATCAACTTATACAATGTCCAATTATGCAATGGAATACATACGTCATAAATTTCATATACAATATAAAAGCATTTTCAAGGCTTCCTTCTTCTAAATACACATTTGCCATTCGAACCATTTCCAAACCAGATCTGTAATACCTGCAACATTCATAGGGATAATTTTTATTCCTTTACGGTTATTTTCTCAATGCTATAAATAATTACCTTCGCGGTGGGACTGAATGATCAATTTCAACGGTATTCCCGTAATCAGACAGTGCTTTTAAGCGTCCGTGGGGATCCATAATTCCGAAATCGGAAGGATTTGACTGTTCGTGTTCAGTCATTGTCAGGTTATGTTATGTTTATGTTTCTACTTCAGAGTCCTCACCACCAATACGTTAAAAATACAGCAGTGTACTTCACGTACTAGTACTTTCTGGCAAAAGTCAAGAAATGACATTTAGGTGACATTCTAACTACATATAATAAACCACATTAATCTATAATACCACCAACCAACACTCTCGTTCGAGAGAGTTCCGGTGGAGGGCGGGTGGTGCGGGGTGGTATTTACGACAAGTGACATGACCAGGACATGACTCACGTCAAAAGCAGCAAGAGGCGCTTATTGCCACTAATCGCAGTCAACAGCCGCACGCGGCAGACGCGGCATTATGGAAATACGCACGCGGTGCGCGATATGTGTGACGTATGAATGTGACGTGCAGTCACGTCGCAAAGACGCAATGTAACGCTATATAACCTGTGGAGTTATTAAAATATTATTATTATATAACCTGGGGCGTATATAGCTGAAGCATTCCTTCGAGGGAGGGGGGAATGTCTATGAGCTTTACAAAAGTAGATAATATATTCCGTTGGCTTTGTATCTTAAATTTAAAATAATATAGTGTAAGATGTATCTTGAATAATAATAATAATAATAATAATAATAATAATAATAATAATAATAATAATAATAATAATAAATTTATATTTCCCTTTATTCTGTTGCCAAAATGTTACTTTAATTGTCCCTTTACCGAATGTTTTCAAAATATTTCTTATCCATTTCACCCTTTTTTATGTTCCCCGAAGACGAACCCCACGTGGACTGAAAGAAAAGCCACGGCACGTGGGGAACGCGCAATCGCACAATTGCGTGTCGGCTGTCATGGCAAAGGCAACCCGCCCATTCAGATGCCTGTCTGTTCTGGAAGTTGACCTGTGCCCCTGACTTCCGGGAAAGGGATCGGCGAACCCATTGGCAACTGGGAGATGGGGCAGCATCCAAAAGATCCATCTCTACATTTTTGCGGGCTGAGCTTCGACCTTAATGGGTTGGGTAATGGTGCGCAGATGAGGTTCTGGCGAGAGATGCTTCCACTCTCGATTCTTACCCGGACCGCCGGTGAAGAAGCAGTCATGAGAAGTCAAAGGATTCGTGATGCATGCGACCCGCACTTGCAAGGCGGCGCTGCGAGTTCTGGCACTGGGCTTGCAGTGCGAAATGCGCTACCTGTGCCAGTGGAGAGCAGTGGAGTCTCCTCATATCATCCGGGCAGGTGTGGCACTGCAACTCTTATGGGGACCACAATACAAACAAATACTGGGGATCGTATCTTGGGCGAAACAACAGCTCTCACCGCCCGACCTCAGAACAAACGCCAGCGCATGAAATGGACTAAGGAGTTAAATATCTCCATTAAACATGCATCCTTTTTAGCTACCAGTCTTGAAGCGGACGTGGAGGGATACAGGACGCGATTTCACGAAGAATGGTTAAAGCTGCATCCGAACATTTCGGTGTGTGTGCGACCAGGAGCGCATTGTGAGGAACTTTCTCTCAGCTGCAAAGACAAATACCATTAGGGAGAATGTAAGAGTATCTTTGGGTATTGAGAATAGGAATGAGACTGATGAAGAAATAAATAATGAAGACCCACATGCTAATCAGGAATGGTCTATGGAGACGAATTCTGATGAATCCTGCATCCCAGTGCCTGAGCAATTCTCTTTGACAGCACATTATGAAGCCATTAAGACAAACTATCATGGTATTCTATTATCCTTCAGACCATGGATCCCACCAGTGGGATATGGCCCACGTACAAATGCAACGATAGAAGTTGTCAATACCTTGCTGTATGTGGATGAAGAACAATCGACAGCGCTTGAGAAAGTGGTGAGCTTTGAGTCATTTGCAGCCCTCGCCGTTGTGCAGGGTCTTTGTAAACCTGTAAATGATAAATTGAAAACATCGAAAGACACAGGGCAGTCCGCTAAGCCCACCAAGCCCCCATGACTTCTCGTGGGACATAGGCACTCTGACAGCCTTCTTTAGAGCTTCTGAGAATGCAACTAGAAAGGTCTCCAATGCAGAGAAGGCGATTGGACGAAATATTAGAATTCGAAGAACCTAGACGTATTTCGAGGATAGGCTCGGAGACCGACTTCAGTATCTAAAACAGGGCGTCGCAACCCTTCGGTGCGTTATAAAGAAGATGAAGTAATAAAACGAAAATAACAGGATGCGACCAGACGAGATTTTTCAGTCAATCAAAGAAAGTTGCCTGAAACGGTTCTTAAAAGCTCCGAGATGGAAGAATATTGGAGTAGTATATGGAGCATCCCCAAGACCCACGAAGATGGAGCTTACTGGTTAGCAGAAAAGGAAGGGAAGTGTGATAGATGTGGTCGCGTAATATTTTACACAGAGAGATATCTTCGATTAAGCCAGGAAGACGCACAATTATCATGCGCCTAGTATACTGATGGATACAAAACTTCTGGTAGATGTACTTCTCGTGTACGTATGCAGTTCTGGCCAGGTTTCAAGCTGCATTCAACGATCCAACTATCATTCCGGAGTCTTTTAATGAAAGAGTTACATTTATGAAAAGCACGATTAGCTATCCTATCGACCTATTACATCTCTCCCCACAATATATAAGATTTCTACATCTGTGTTGGCCAATGTGCTGAATACCCATCTAAAGGCCAACAGTTTTCTGGCGCCCGAGCAGAATGGTTGCAGAAAGGGTGGTCAGGGTTGCAAAGAATTATTGACAGTAGACAGTATTATAGTAAATCAAGTTTTAAAAAACCGCAACATTTCTGTAAGATGGATTGACTATACAAAGGCCTTCGACTCGATACCTCATTCGTGGCTTTTGTATGTCCTTCACCTCTACAAAGTAAATGCCCAGAATGTGAACTTAATCCAACACTGCATGGCAACTTGGCATAGAAAGATAAAGTTCTCATTTGATGGAGGCAGCTATACCACCAAATAACTGAAGATCAGACGAAGAATTTTTCAGGAAGATAGCCTTAGCCCCTTATGGTTCTCGTTAGTTCTAAACCCTCTCAGCAGAATGTTAAGAGAGTCAGGGACATGAAGTCACCAAAAATCCTCGTATTCTCATTAATCATCAGTTCTACATGGACGATATCAATTCCAGCTTTCCTTGTTGCTTGAACTTGTTAAGACTTTAGCGACTTTATTTGTATGAAGTTTGTCATTGATAAATGCACTGTAGTGCACGTGAAAAGGGGGAATCCTTGAACCTGACAAACTCATCCCGATGTGTGGCACAAATATGCAAGAAGTAGGGCAAGAGGACACCTAAAGGCTAGGGTAAGAGGATAAATATTTAGGCCTGCACCAACCTTTAAGCACAAGTGAAGCAATAATGAGGTGTGATATTAAAAATAAAGTCTTGCAAAGAGTCCCAAAAATCTGTAAAACTCTTAAATGGAAAGAACTTCATATCAGCTATCAACATTTGGGCAGTACCTGCCGCTGTCAATGCTTTTAGTTTTCTTCACTGGACAACTGCAATGCAGGAGCTTAATCAAAAAGTTAGGAGGAATAACAAGGAGATAGAGGTCTTCTGGATTTCGATTCCTTGTGTACGAAGCAAATCAACAATCTTCGCAAATACTTACTTCAGAAAGCGAAGGTTATGCATGTAGCAATTTGTGTCACGGACAATAATTTTACCCCACCTGAATCAAACAGACTCTGAAAGATCATGTATCACCAAATAGATAGAGTGAGTGGATCCAGAAGCGTTCGCACGTCAGGTATCCTGCTGAGCTCAAAGGGGATCGTCAGTCTCTTGACTAACAACATCTAGCCTCTTCCAGAAGAGTTCGTCATTTCTATTTTGACGAAGTAACCTCCACTCGCAATTACCAAAGGTATGTGACTGGGGATATAAATGTAGAGGACCTCTGCCACCTTTGCAATCACCCGGGCCAAACATTCCAACACATAATGGTCAGATCCTCTGCTTTGGCACAAACTGAATACCAGAGTCAGCACAACGACGTTGATGCGGTCAGAGATGGTACAGAAAGAGGTCCCACACTACAAGTTCAAGCCGGATTCAGTTTTGGAGTCGAAACTATGGAAGTTCATGTGGAATTTAGCAGTTACAACTGATCGCAGGGTCGAAGCCAACATGTCTGACCTGACATAGTATGGATTGATAATGTCTCACAGATAGGGATTATAGCTATCCCTTTAGACTGAAATATATCTGCTTATATTGCCAAGAAGAAGTGAAAATACCAGGCCTTGGCTATTGAACTGAGCGACATGTGGCTGTTAGTATCTGTGGTCATCTCTGGAAATGGAATGATATCTGAAGAACTGTTTTAATCGTCTGCAAGCCTTGGTCTTAAAAACTTTCACATTCAATCAATGCAAAAGGCTGTTCGCCTGCGTACTGCACGCATCATGAGGACGTTTTTATTGATAAAACTTCATGTTGAATCCTGACCTCTCGAGTTTGCAAGCGAAGCAGGCACCTTGAATCTTCGAAGGTCCCGGTGCCTGCTGTAGCACACATCGCTAAGTGAGAGACGTGATAATAATAATAGAATAATAATAATAACAACAACAACATCTATAACAACTAGTCCACGACGTGGGTCATCAAGGCCAGACTGAACGATGGAATATATCACGGCATTTCGCGTCTTTCTCGGTCATGACGCTAGATGTCGCATGATTGCGACCGCTACCAATTTGAAAATGACACAAGTAGGCTAATGGTAACTGAGAAGCTAAACGTGAAAATCCAAGCATGGGCTTAATGCATTAGACGTTACAAACATAGAGTAGACTTCCGTGTGCAGAATCGGTAGTTTGAAGCAGATGCGAAGAAATTCTATTGCAAATTGACAAAAACTGCTCCTTCAAAAGATGACGTCGAAGCATTTTTGGCAGAAATCTAGGAGGAAAGCAGTTCTTACAACAATGACGCATCTTCGCTTCAATCCGAAGTTTTTGCTGCAGAAGAACTAGTGGAAAAGGCGAAAAATGTTCACGAATTAATTTTTTATTAAAAACTTTAAATGGAAACATATTTCCGACATTGAATACGTTGTGTAGGGTGTCCAGTATATTTACGAACATATTGGATGAGTTTTTAGCCATACAATATTCTTCGTAAGCAGTATGCGAGAAAGTAAATAATTAAAAGATAATAAATAATACGATACTGATAGCAATGGCAAACAAATCCAAATAGATAACAAATATATAATAGTAATTATTACACACTTTGGTATTGTAATACATATTGTAACCACCGACTCACCCGATTACCTGATACTTCGGCGATTCAGCTTTGCCCGGCTGAATCGTCGGCAGACTCCCTAGAGAGAGGCATGCATGATTGCCTAACTACGTGAGAGAAAGTCTCCAGCATTTTCATAAACTACTTTAATCACTTAGTATTGTGTGAGGCTGCAGCCCAGTAACATGAATAAACTTATAACTAACTTAAATCTAATCTTAACCTATTAACGGCCGGTATGGCCAGAGTTCATTTCAGCTCCGGTGTCTGCCCTCCCGGGCGGTCGTGATCCAGCTCACAGGTGCAGCGTTCGGGCATCCCAGCGCCCAGCAGGTCTGGTGGCGGGCGACTACGGCGTTGCTTGCCCTCTCGGTTAGGCACTAAGTAGTAGTGTCCCGTCCCATCGGCTGGTTGGCGTCCCACGAGTCGGGCTGCGATGTGGCGACGCGACGTGCCATTCGGGGCGGACAGGCACTAATTTAGTGGCCTCGCTACTGCCTCAGAAGCAAGTCTCCTCCTCGCTTCCTCTAATACAAGTCGCCTCCTCGCTACCTCCGATACACGTCTCCTCTTTGCTACCTCCGATACAAGTGATCGATCTGTACCTCTGCGGTCCCACAGGAAGGCGTACGTAACACGTGATTCCTCCCCGGCATTGTCTATTTCTATTGGATGTCGCGCCACTGTACCCCTTCCGCCTATCACAGCGCCAGCGGCGAAGCCGCCCCCCAGCAACCTCCCCCGAAGTAACCTACGTCATCTAAATTCCCGGAAATAGGCGTGGGTAATTCCGTTGCTCGGTGAAGGGGGTGTGGGCGGAGTATTTCCCCACACGTCGTAAGGGATGCGCTAAGCGTGGGGTTGTGCTGAACAAAAGAGGCGCCTTTTTCCGCCTTTCCCTAGGCTCGCCAAGCGGCTCAACCCGGTTCAGTAGGAAATGGCATTTCCGGATGCTCTTAACGGCGGCGCGGTTCTTAATTAAATAAAATAAATATATGGTTCGTGTCGTCATCCGCGATGTGCGACCGTCCCATTACAATATTATATATATATATATATATATATATATATATATGTGTGTGTGTGTATGTATGTATGTATATGCGCTGCCAAGACGGCTTCCCGCGATGCAGGCGCGGCAAATAATTAACGTAAAAAACATCTGTTATCTGCGGCCCTCGGCGCGACCGCCGGACTTCCGCTTCATGGCAAGCGCAGAGGGGCCCGTCTGACGTCATATGCCACCCCTTTAAGATGCGGAACAGCAGACCACTTCAGCCCCTTCTTGTACGAGACGCCGGGTTGAGCTGACGAGTGCGGTGAGCGAGGCCAAGTCGACATCTTGTCGCGAGAGAGTATTAGTAAGAGAGCACGAGTGTGTAGAAGTGAACAGTAGAGCAGCGAAGTTAAGTAGAATTCAACATTGATTCGGCAGTTAATTGAACTGGGTGAAGTTTGAGGGCGAATAATAGGGGTCGTTGTGAGAAAGAGGAACAATAATTATCACGAGGCATCATAAGACTTTGAACTTTGCAACACAAGTCAAAGGTGTTGAAATACGCCGAAACTACGCCGTTAACCATACGCGTAAGGACTGTGTATCACGCGTTGGCGTGCTACGGGTCAAGAGTAGCGTAGACGAGGGCGTGAGCTGCCGGGAGCGAAGAAAGAAGCGTAGGCGTCGATTCCGTGGGCAAGAAGACGAAGACAACTGTGGTCGTGCGACATGGTGGACACCTGGACAGAAGAGGAGCACCGGTGCGGACGGAATCTGGAGCCAGGTCAGGCGTGTCGAAGGAGAAGCAAGGTTGGCGCAAGCCCCGACTGTAGGCGCTCCGCAAAGGTAACAAATTTCATAACGGGAGTCTAGAGCAAGCAGATCCGCAAGCGACTAGAGCAGCGGAAGAATTCAAAATTTCATAAACACATAGATTTCGCTGCGGTTCATAGCGTCGCTATATCACTACAAATACCGGGAAAAGAGAACCTTGTAAGCCAGTGTACATTTCATTTGTGTTTAATGTTCCCACGGAGATTTTTGTAAATAGCTGTGTAATACATTTTCATTTACGTGAAATATTCCCATGGGAATTAAATGTAAATAATTGTATAGTCGGATAAGTCATTTTTGGTCATTTGTTGCAAGTCTTTTGAGCCAAGAGAATAATGTTAAAATAGAAATAATTTCACAATGTATTGTAATAATTGAGGCAAGTAAAATTATCATTATGTGTCTTTTCAAACGGTGCTCATCAAGCAGTCATTACAGTGCATTTAAAAAAGGTATTAATGAGAAGGAAGTATTCAGACAAATATTAAAATAGTGTTTAAATCTTGTTAAGTATTGCAAAAGAGTAATTTGTTTCTGCATGCTATTTGTGTTATTTTCCATTTGTTTCTTTGTATCTGTTCAGTGCTGTTGTTGGTGGCAGTATTCTTGAAAGAATATATGCAATGATTTACCTAATTGTGGGAGATCTGGGCTGTCCGGGTGACGCCGCGTCGAAGGCTGAGTTGCCGACGTTTCGACCATCCTGTCGTGGTCTTCCTCAGGGCTGGTATAGGTTGGTATAGCTCATACCAGCCCTGAGGAAGACCACGACAGGTTGGTCGAAACGTCGGCAACTCAGCCTTCGACGCGGCGTCACCCGGACAGCCCAGATCTCCCACATGACTCTGGTCGCGGAAGCCTACGACTTCATTTGATTTACCTAATTCTGTGTCTTGGACTAAAACTTTCTCATACCCCAAAGATACTGTCCCTTGACATAAAGAAGCTCGAACCGGTCGAACCATTCGGTCCGACGTAGTTTTTCCCCCCTCCAGTTACCCTAGAGAGGCGGGAATTTATTTGTCTTTTGGGGTACATTATGTATAACAGGAGCCGATTTAGCTTGTGCAGTTAGGGAAGGCTTTATTGCTCACATACATACTAAAACTATCTTATAACTATATACATTTACACTTTAGGGTCTGTTTTTAGGCTTTTTAAAAAAAAAATGAATTGGGAGATCTTGAAATTGTTCTATTCTCTTCTTTTAATTTTTTCTCTCACTCGCCTTCACACTTATATTAATTATATTTACAAACGCATCCATTCATTCATACAAACACATAACACTTCACAACACTATATACACTTTTAAAGCACGCCACGGCGCCGACTTCAATCAAGCGTCCGTGGCGCCGCGACGTCTTCGGTCCCCAGCGACGCTGGCCCAGCGGAGCGCGCATCCGCGCCGCCCGCGCGGTTTCCGGCATCCGTGAGCGGCGATCCCCTGTCACGCACTTGCTGCTCCCCCGCGTCGCAGAGCTCAGAGAGCTTGTGCGGGGACAGTGCGCGGAAGGTGAAGGCGACGTGCTGTGGGCCCTTTCTTCTGTGGAAGGCCCTGTGCACGCCGCTGTTCGCCGCCTTGCCGCTCTCGCGCAGGATGCGCGGAGCGGACGGCCTCGGCGCCCTTGCGAGCGCCGTCTCCGCCCTTTTTTGTAGCTCCGCCGGGAACTGGTTGCGAGCGCCTAAGATTCTGAAGACGAAGTCCGACGTAGGTGAAGCTTGCGTCAGAATATATATGCAAGTTTTAGTTTATATTACCGCGAACGAAAGGCAGCCCTCATTATCGCCTTCAGTTATCAGTGCACCGTTTCAACAACGGGTTACACCCAACAATAACCGCACATTTATTCATTTTCACATTTAACACAATTAAGGCAACACAAAGACGCAATTTAAAATGAAATAACATATAATAAATAATAATAAAATGAATATGAAATAATATACAAATACTAACTTACGTAACATCGGACTGCGTAAATTGGGAGCGGGCTACTGAAGGCTAGCAACATTATTTTCAAATTTATTTCAAATAGGTTTTAGATAATTACTAAAAGATTAATTTGTAAACGTATAGTAAAAGCTCCAATGTAATAAACGAACAAATAAATATGAAATTATGTACACATTCTAATTCACATAGCATTCAATTGCCTCAAAACACCTCTAAATCCCCGATCAAGAAGCGCTGGATTTTCTGAGCGGTGGCTAAGTTTCTCGGACAAGTACTAAAAAAATACTCATATTTTCAAAAATTTCGACACGACCTTATTTGAAGATCTATTTTTCATAAACACATTTCATTAAGAAAAATGTGTATCTTGATAACTGTAATTGTAGGAAGACACCGAAACATTTTTGATGTTTTCAATTTTCATAAAAGGAGTGTTTTCAACCACCATGAGACCTGCACCATTTTCGTAAATGTACTTCAGACTTTCCTACTACAAAATTTCATAAAAAACGATGGAGGTGTTTTGAGAAATAAAATGCTTAAACAAAATTAAAAATTGTCTATATTTCATACAAAATTACGTGAAAATTCCTCAAACTTCCGCAAAATTGTACACGACCTTTAAAATGTATATTTAAGAAACATATTTTATTAAGGGAAGAACCTCTACGTTTGATATTTCGTTGTAGGAAGACGCTAAAAAAACTTTGAATTTTTAAAATTTTTGAAAAATTAGAGGTTTTGCGAAAATGAGATTTAAACTTTTTTATGCTATCCAGCATCCAAATTCAATTAAAAACGTTGGACCCGTTTTTTTATGTTAAAAATGCATGTAAAGTACCCCCCGAAATTAAAATATCAATTTGAAATTAAGGAGTCGTGACATCAATCAGATCAATTGGGTATTATCATTTTTTATGAAAATCGTGTTTTGCCGTTAGCGTTCTTCACAGACGGACAGAAAGGCGTTTCGCCGTCAATCGACTTTTCGGTATCAATGACAAAGCATGAATTTGACTACATCGCGTGTTGGAGGTTTTTTTCTTGCAAATTTAGCAACTGGATGTATCCACTTTTTCATTTCCAGGACCCTGTAAGAAGAGTTTTCTGCCGGAAATTCGCCTTTTTCGCGCACTATTACATAATTTTCTACGGCTGTAGAGATAGGGAGAAAGTAATAATAGAAATAATAATAATAATAATAATAATAATAATAATAATGATAATAATATTTTTATTTATAATTTTTATTTTTTCAAAGAATTACATTGACAGGTGTTTCTATTTACATATAAAAATTTAAAATAACAAAAACCAACACCATAAAAACAATAAAACTAGAAAAAATAATACTTATTTTGCTAGACCATTACAAATACCGTTCTTACCAAATTTATTTTATCTTATCAAGTACACTCCAAACCCTCTCTAAGTATTTTTTGTATTTGTCAGAGACGGGTGTGTTACATTGTACGCCTGTTTGTTTTTTCTTTTTTTTTACGTTTACCCATCATCTGTACTGTAATAATATCTGAACTATAATAATAATAATAATAATAATAATAATAATAATAATAATAATAATAATAATAATAATAATAATAATAAGAAGAAGAAGAAGAAGAAGAAGAAGAAGAAGAAGAAGAAGAAAAAGAAGAAGAATGCGTGGAAAGTGTGTCGTGTAAAGGCCCTAATAGAAGTCATATTTGTTATCAATGCGGCAAAGACAGGCGCATAGCAAATAACTGCAAAGGAAAAACACAATGCATCGTTTGCAAAGAGGAATACTGGAGAGACAATCACTGGCTTGGTAGCAAAGGTTGCCTTTCTTTTATGGCGGCTCAAGATAAGTATATGACTAAGAATGCTCAAGTTCTTACAGATTAATCCGAGAAGAAGTAAGCAGGCCCAAGACCTTTTAAATCAGGTCGCCATAGAAAGGAATGTGGACTTGGCAGTAAGGACTCAAGGAGATCAGGAAATATTATACATAATAAGAAACCCACAATCAGAGCCTTTAACATGACGAATTGTGGTGTCGTATGGATAGAGTTCGATGAAACTAGAATTTACAGCTGTTACTTTCTCCCGAATGATCAAAGGAAGATGATGGCGAAGAATACCGACCAGCTCGAAATAGGCCTCAATCGGCTAAAGGGAATGTGATCATCGCGGAGGACTTTAATAGTAAGTCTCCGGAATGGGGGAGACGAAAACTGACAAGAGACGGAACATTTTTTGTGAATTTGTCGCCAGAAACGACCTGGTCATTCTTCATAATGGAAATAGGTATACCTTTCAACGGTGTGAGGGGTCTTCCATTATTGACAAAACAATGAGCTCTACCAAACTGGCCGGAAACATTAAGAAATGGGAGGTGCTAGAAGCAGCTTAGCTATCATATATTTGTTTTTCAATCATAACCAAAAAGGGGCCAGTACTCACCAGAGAGAGAATCAAAGGCAGTGCAATATGGAATGTGAAGAAGCTAAACCTAAGCAAGGCAAAAACGTCGCTGGAGGAATCCAAGCTCCTGAAGACCTTAGGATGGACGACAAGACATGATAGTCTCGGAGAAATTGCCAAGGAAAGCATGGAAATCGTGACCTCGGCCGCAAGGATTCAATGCCTAGGCGCAGGGGACCTAGGGGTAAAACTCAAGTCTGTTGTAAACCGGAGATAGCAGAACTTCGCCAAAATTATATCAAGATAAGAAGATTGACGTTCAGAGCCAGGACAGATCCTCAACTCAGAGAACAGTACAAAATCTCGCGTACTGTTCATTTACTTTACATTACATTACTTAACTTTACATTACTGTACGGGTTCATAAACCTATTAAAGAAAGCGAAGCCAGAGGCTAAAAAGAGCTCATAGAGAAGGTAGAGGATGAGAGGAGGATCCATGTGATACAGCATGTAAAATTATTATGAAAAAATTGGAGTAGATCCCAGCGATGGCCGACCCACAATGGATTAATAAAGTGATAAGGGACGTGTTCCCTCCTAGGGACAAGAGGAGAAGGCACAGACAGAAAGCCTTGTCGCAAGACATCCGTAGAACCCTTCACGAAGGAGGAAATGTTGATTGCAATTAAGAGCACAAAAATGGGAAAACACCCAGTCTTGACGGGATCCTGAATGAGCTGTTGAAGGTAGTGACAAGGGAATACCCCGAATGCCTACTATCCGTTTTTAATCGCAGTCTTGAAGGAGTAAGAAAATGAAAGAGGCAAAAGATAATATTACTTCAGAAGGGCATTAAACCAATAGACCAGACCTCGTCATATAATTCTCGGCTATCCGGGAGACGCCGCGTCGTTGGCTGGGAGGCCGACGTTTCGCCTGACATGTCGCAGGCTTCCTCAGGGCAGTGACACTGCGTGCAGTACATTTAGAGCAGTTTTGTGAACGCACGGAAAGTGCAATGTACGTTCACGCCACCGCGGTGGGACCATTCCTGGCCTTACGGGTGCATACGGGTATCTATGGCCAATCTTGCAACATTAAGAAAAACTGAAGGTCAAAAAATGACTTTAACCTACAGGTGCGCGCATTGCACGTTTTGAAATACTACTTTTATGTTTCAGACTCATTTCTCTGTTTCAGATTACTCTTACTCCAGGAAGTGCTTCGGTCGCCTATACTTTGGTCACCCTTTGGTCGGGTTGGTATGAGGCGATCTCGGAAATGAGACCGTTCTCCGAGTCAACTGCTGTTTCAAAGAAATTTTTAACTATAGTTTTGATATGATCTATAAGCAGTGGCATTGATAAATCGCGATGTATATTTTCGATGGGAATGTTTCTAGGGGCGCAGAGGGCAGCCCTGAGACACTCGTTTTGAACTACTTGCAGTTTGTTCAGATGATAATTTGCTGCAATTGCCCAACTTGGGCATGCGTAGTCCATTTGCGGCCTAATTATTGCTTTATGAAGCGTGAGGCAGTTTGCTCCGCCTGTGAAACAAGCTTCGCAATCTGCCTCGGGTATGCCGCGCTTTTTATCGCACATTTTCTAAGTGCGGTTGAAAAGTTAAAGAGCTATCTAAAGTAACTCCTAAATATTTGACGTTTTTTGTCCAATTTATCACGTCCCCGCAAAGCGCGAGTGGCCTCGGCCGCGTGAATCTCTGTCTCCGTGTGAAGAGCACAGCTGTGCTCTTACTCACATTGACTTTGACCCGCCACAGTTTCAGCCACTCCTGGATCAGTAGCAAATGTTGATCCAAGTACTTCTGGAGAAGCTCGATATTTTTTGACGTGGCTATTACAGCCGTATCGTCGGCGTACAAGGCGAGCTGTGTTTGAGGGTGAGTGGGCATATCACGCACATAAAAGCTGAAGAGCGTTGGAGCAATCACGCTCCCTTGCGGCACTCCGGCCTGTATGGCGCGGCGGGTAGATTTGGCATTCAGAAGCGTCACTTGAAACGTTCTGTTTGCTAGGTACGAGAGGACAAGGTGCACAAGGTATATAGGAAAGTTCATGGAGTGAAGTAAGGATGCCGACGTGCCTGACTTTATCGATGGCGCTTGCAACGTCGAGAAAGACTCCACCTGTGAATCGGCTCTAATTGAAGTTGCGTCTTATGCGGTCCTTGATTCACACAAGCTGATGCGTTGTGCTGTGTCCCGCGCGAAAGCCAAACTGCTCCTTGTTTAAGAGTGCATTTTCTGAAACATATTTTAAGATTATTTTTTGGATTAGTTTTTCACAGAGCTTCCCGACCTATTTAGTAGACTTATGAGCCTGTACGACTCGTTTTTTTCGGATTTTTCCCTTGTTTGTGAACAATTAGTATAAGTGCATGTTTCCACTAACTCGGGAAATGCTGAAACTTAATATAGCATTAAACAGAGCGACTAAGAATACTATGGCCTGCTCTGGCAGCTTCTTCATAACGTCGTTACAAATGCTGTCGGGGCCAGGAGCTTTTCTAGTTTTCAGCTCCGAGATGGCCGTTTTTACTTCAGTCTCTGTAGCGAAACTCGGCTCGTCGGCTGGCGCGTGCAAGGCCGCCATTACAGTTTCTTGTACTTCGACAACGTGCGGTATTGGCAGCGCCTCCTTCACCGGCTGAAACTGAGATTCTAAGACATTAGCTAGGAGTTCCACTTTCGCTTAGTTTGATTCTGCGAACTCTTCTGTGCTGGTCTGAAGCGGCGGCACTCTTATTGGTGTCCTCGAAAGCATGCGAGTGACTCGCCACAGTGAATTATCTTCAGGTTTGAGACCTGACAACAATTTAGCCCATTTCTGATTGCGGTATTCAGCTAGTTGGATTTCAACTTTACGTTTCAATCGGTTTCGCTCCCGTTTATCACCTGGGTGTCGCTCTGACACAATCTGCGCGCCCTGTTTTTCCTAGAAATAAGATTAATAATATACGGGGTTAATGGTTGCTCCTTTTTAGAGGAACGATGCTTCTCCGCTGCTGCGTTGAGGCTGTCAGTCACAGCTTCGGCGAATTGTTGTGCTCCTGCTTCTATCTGCTCTGGTGCTGACAGTACAGTTGCATCTGATATGCGCTGCTGAGCTCCGTCTGGAATGTATTCGAGTCCGTGTGCCTCTTCTGCGTCGTGGGTGCAGTCGACAGGGTTAGGCCGCCGCGCCTCACATCCTCTATCACTGGGAAGTGGTCAGAGGAAAGCTCATAAGTGGTGGTTAGTGTGGGAGGGTAATAGAGTTTCCGGCAGACCGCAATATCTAAAGTATCAGGCTTACAGTTCGTTCGAAAGGGATAATAGGTAGGTGTATTGGGAGCGTATATCTCGCAGACGTTTGCATCAGCGGTTGCTTTCAGCTTACGGCCGCGGGGGCAGGTGATGCGGGAGCTCCAGGCCGTGTGTTTGGCAGTAAAATCGCCAGGTACAGGTGTTGGAGTTGTGTTAGTCTCTACTAGTTTTGCAATATCTGCAGCTAGCAGGGCGCACGTCTGCGCGGTGCAGTCGGGATGTGCGTAGATGGAGATGAGACGCAGCGGCCCTCGCTTCGTCTGAACGACAACAGCAGTGGCCTCGGCGTGCTGCAGCTGCGGTAGTGCTGTAACATAATGATTTATGTTGCGTCTTATTAGAATTGCAGTACCGCCTCCTCTGTGGGCGCTTGTCGCGTATGCGGCTTGTGCTGCTCTGTCGTTTCTGTAGCAGAAGAAACCTGAAATATTTAAAGAGCAGGTTAAGCCATGTCTCCCCCAACATCATTAATGAAATATTACGCCGAGCGAGAGAGCTGTGCAGGTCTGGCTGCTTCTCTCGCGAGTAGATGCCGTTGCAGTTCCAAAATGCAACGGTGCCGCTGTTCCTGTAAAAAATAGAGCTAGCCATTATTTAGGGTGGGAAGGACGTGTGTGGGTGAGAATGCGCGAACCTCCTCCGTTGCTTCCGCCACAGCGGTCTCGTATGCATGCTCAATGAGTAACGTAATAACAACCTTGAGCATGACCGATGCCCACTCGGCATGACGCGATCCGTGGCGATTCCGTTTCGGGCGAGATCGTCCAGTGTCGTGCTGCACGCGCTTCTGCTCGCTCAGTGTGGAGGGCTCTGGGATGCTCTCCGCCGTCCGCCTATGCCGCTCCAGGCGCTCGTCGCGCTCCTCGCGAGCTGCATCGGCGGTCGTCGGCTGGCGCTCCCGGGTGGGGCGGGGGCGTTGCACCTGGTGTCACTGCTT